AACTGTATAGCAGCATGACTGAAAATGGTATTGTGAGTCTAAACCAAAGCCAAGAGCGATTACACGCATAGTAAGATCACATAAGCCGAGTTAGACAACGAAACATGATGAAACGCACCGAAGCTTGATTACAAAGACCAGGGGAGAAGTTAAAGACCATGACGCATAGTCAAGAAAGAACAACGTCCCACACAAAACAGAATATGTCAGCATGACTTGAACTTGCTAAGCTATGAGAGTCGTTATTGTGCTTATTCTTGGTTTTCTTCACCACCCTCGGTGTGGGGCTCTTAGGTTTTAAGTCGGCAATTCTCCTCGCGCGGGCCTCGCGCGGGCCTCCTGTACTAGTATCCCTGAATTGGAGACTCCTGCAAGGCATCCCGGATTCCTGGTACCCTTGTCCGATACGGTGTAGGGATGCTCTTTGGAGTTCTTTGCGGACGCTCCCGTTACCACCAGGGATTCTCTGCAGGGTTTTCTTGAGGTGGGTGGACACCAGTGTGTCTCCGTGTGCTCACCATACTGGACAGGATGTTCAGCGAGATTCTCTTTGGGGGTGGGCACTCCATGGACTCAGCAGGATTCTCTAGGGATTGCCGGCGGCATCCTCTGGGATTCTGCAAAGACTTCTGCCACGCAGCTTCCTGAGCCGGAAGCAAGAGCCGCGGAAGGGTTTTTTGCATGAACGGCCACACGGAAACCCAGACCAGGCACCGGAAACGCCATCCGTCAATCAGGAAACCTACGCCCGAAAACCTGAATCTGAGCCCATGCTAAGCTTGCTGCTGGTGGTTTAGGCGTGATTCAGGTAGGTACTCTGAAAGCCTAATTAATGGCCTGACCACACAGGGCGCAACTAGATATCATGTCTCGACGCACCCCTGGAGTCCACACTAGCTTTCGTGTCAGTCCCTCACCTTCAAGTTCGTCGAGTCCAGGCTTTGGCTTTTAAAGATCAAGCGCTGTAGCCATTAGGGTTGAGGGTTTAGGGTTTAGGGTTTCATGCTGGCATCAGCTACCCCAAGCAATCCAGACGGCTGGAGCAGGCAGGGCAGCGCAAGCAGTGCGAGCGCTGCACCGGCCCCATCCGCCAACGCCGCCCGCGCAGCTGGGAGCGAGGCACAGGACATCGCAGGACTCAGGATTTGCATTGGAATGATAAGGGGGGCGTGACAATTGGGCTTGGGCAAAACCCTGTAGAGCTAAGGCGTGTGCTAAGGGCTGGGGGGCTCGCGACATTGGCATTTGCAGGCTACTCGTACCTGCAGAGCCGAAGCCTCCGGTGCCTCAACATCCCCAATGCTGACACTTCCGCCAACCTGGACCTTCTAGTCATCAGGCACAGCTGAGAACAACCCTGAGAAGCCTCCTTTGATCAATCCTAAGCACCCCCCAAGCCGTGAGAATCATGAACTCTAGCGTCCCCTCGGGCACCTCAAGTCCTTAACACCCCACACCCCAAAAGGCCTAAAAAGCCTCTGTTCCGCCCACGTAGCCCTATGGTCGAACGCTAAAAAACGCCCAACGCACCTCTTGGAACCCATCTGATGGCCCCAGGCAGCGCAAGGAGGCGGCGCTCCAGGTGCAGCTGCCAACTCCGACCCACTGGCCGTCTTTGTGGTCCTGCGGAAGGAGAGCATTTTGCCACGGTTGTATCATGAGACGGTTGCGATAGCTAGTGCAGCCGCAATGAACTACACCTGTCAGTTATGAGCCTCAGAGGCCGGAAGTAAGAGTGCAACATTGGCGTCTGACACGCTGTCAGCGCACAGAAGTTCTCAGAAGTGGCCGCTGGCGGGGTCGTGACTTTCCATGCTCCAAGAACATCTGGAGGACTTGGACTGGCCCACGGGCGTGCCAACCTTAAATGTGCTGACCTGGATGCCGTGGGGCTCCCGCAGCAGGTTTGTGAGCTGGCAAAGCAACCATACTCCGCACTGGGAATTCCTTTCGTGGAAGAGGCACACTTACCTCGATTGCCGACTGCTGCGTCTGGGTCTGGACCCGAGGCCTTGATCAACCAGGCCTGTCACGCCTGCAGCGCCATGGTGGCATCCCTAGCATCTGGTAGTAGCCCATGCAGGTTTGTGTTTAGGGTTTAGGGTTTAGGGTTTGGGGTTTGGGGTTTGGGGTTCAGGGTTTAGGGTTAGGGTTTAGGGTTTAGGGTTTGTACATAGTCTCATGACCGTGATGGTTGGTTGGTTGGTTGATTCGTGTTGCCCTCCTTCTTTTGCCCTTGTTTGTCCGCGCGTGGAGCTAGGCCTTAGCAAAAGTTCCCGTCAAGTGCTTGCGGCGAGTGTCTCTGACTTTTCGCATTGCTTCACTTGTAGCTTTGTTGCAGTCATTTAAGACATGCTTCAGAGCTGGCGTACGCTTGTCAGCCACCTAGTTGGTTGCGCGTGGAATGGAGCAATGCAAATGGGTTACGTGCCACTGCATTTAGCATGTACTCTCTGAGCCGTAGCAACCCTCAACCCTAAACCCTAAACCCCAAACCCCAAACCCTAGCCCTACTAGCATCGCTTGGAGGCTTGGGAGGCAAGAGAGGACGAGGATGCAGTGACCTACTTCTCCGAGGCTTCGGTGACAGGATGCCGAATAGGGATTATAGTACCCAATATCATAAGCCCTATATAGGCTTCTCGAGCTCAACAAAAGCGTGTTTTTTGCCGTGTCTGTGCTTTTTGCAAGCACAGCATGGTTCAGGCAAAGCCGAACTCCAAGCCAGAGTCCCGCAACTCCCCAAGGGTGCAAAGCACCAAGCCCCCCAGGTAACACAAGAACCTTGCCTTGACGCCTTGCAGGGCCTGAACGGGCACATGGTGAAGTCTACTATGGCGGCCAAAAGCCAGGCGGCCCGTTTTGGGGCTTCGGGGGTCAGGGAATGAGAGTCTAGGGGATGATGCATTCAGGACATGCCCGCCGATAGAATGCAAAGCCTACTACAGTAAGAGCTTCAGCGTCTGAGTGTCCACTGGACTTTGTGGAGCCGCATAGGGCCAGAGTGGCCAGAAGAGTCCCTACTCAGTGATTGCACAGGGGACCTCGAGCCTGCCCTAGTGTCGCAATGTAGCATGCCCATGACCTACAGAACGGGGTGCGCCTTGGGGTTTTTTGGACAAGATGCAGTACAATGCACAGTGGTAGGCAGGGGTAGCTTGTTAGCAAGATCGAGTGCCCTGCATCTCCTGGATGGTGTTTGGGCCCTGCAACAGCTTTCACTGTTGTGGCTGTGCAGGGCGAGCTCGACGATGTCACCAAGAAGCTGAAGGAGGCCCAGGGATCCCAGGGTTCGAACCGGGGGGTCACCCTCATTGCGTCGAGCAAGCTCCATCAAGAACCCGGCCTGTCGTGTCAGCATATCTTACGAGACCCGTCAGAATCAAGATGGATCAAGCGATGGCAAGCAACTGCTTCGTTCTTTCACGTTGGACCTCGGTACCAATAGGACTGGCATGGAGGTTCGCGTTCCTGGACGTCCTCCCGCAAAGTGCAAACTCCTAAGTCAGGGGAAAGGGTGACTAACTGTGTTGCTGCCCTTCGCGCCCTTGAACAGTTTCATCTTGCGGAAACCTTCAAACTGTCAGAGCTCCGCTCTTGAAGCCTTGGAGTTACACGATGCCACTAAGCCCATACCCCTCCAGCCCTGAAGACAATGTGTTCAGCCCAAGGATGCACCCTACACTCCCCCACTGTTGAGGGCTCCAAGACCTCAGGCGGGTATCCCTTACAAGCTCTGGGTGGAGCAGCCCGAGGACTGGTTGCGTCTGGGAATTCTTGTTGCGCTCCAATCCGGCTTCGGGGGCTGCAACAAAGCGGTCCTGGTAAGGGCGTGTCGAGGACAGGTTTCGATGGCCTCGGCTTGATCAGGAGATTATCAGGAGTTGCTTGTGCCTGGCGGGTTCAGTCAGGGTTTCTGGAGCTTTCGGCCTCTCTGTGTGGCTTTGATCTGGCGCCAAGCGCTGCAGCTCGGCCAGGACATTCCTGTCTGCCGGGCGCCTGGTGGGGAGGTTTCAGAAAAGGGGGTCCTTACTCTTTTCCTGGATCGAGGTCTGGCCACTTGGCCACGGAAGCGCAGTGTGCGTGGGGCCCCGGATCTTCACTGAGTGGAGCTGCCCCTGTTCCCCCGAACGCGGTTCGGGTTGGTTGCTCTTCTTTCAGTGTGATCGTGGGCTCCCCAACTAACCCCCTCTACACCACCCCCCGAAATTCCCTTCATAATTAAGGCTATTGAGGGATCATGAAGCCGAATTAAGGTTATTTCAGGGGGGGGAACCCAGGGGGGGGTAGTATAATAGAGGGGGGTAGTAGGGGAACCCATGATGTGACCTCATGACATCTTGAATGTTCGGCAGGGTTAGTTTGAGGAGGCGGTTCGGGGCGAGTTCAAGTTTTTGCCTTGTTGCCAAGGTTAAGGAAGGTGCTGAAGAAGCTCAGCCGATTCTGATCGGGGGCACAAAGGGTGCCGACGTATGCAGTTTTCCATCGGTAAAAAGCTTCGACGCCCGAAGTCCAGTGTGGGGTTCAGGCAGGTGAAAGATGGTCAAAGATCGGTTGCAGCATTGCCCCGCCTCGGCTCGTGTCTGGGTTCCGCAAAGCTTTGGATAGGAGCTGCTCGGCGCTGCGTCCCAGTTGACCCGCTCCGCTCCGTGTTACTTATGCCCAAACCAAGAAGGGTTCAGGGATCAGTACCATTGCCCTATAGAAACTTTTTTCCTTGGTATGACAAAAATGCCCGTCCTACCCTGTTGAGAAAATTCAAGAGACGTGGCAGCATTTTTGATGATGTGCATGTCCCCGGTCCTGCGCACCAGATGCGACCCAGTTTGCGCACCCATGCTTCGGAGAAGCAAAACCCTAAAACACAAGCCGAAACTCTGGGACCTTCAGCCCTCAAATTGAAGCTGTGCCGGTCCTGCTGCCGTTCTAGCCCGCAGTCCACATCCACAGCTGGCCAGACCGTAGCCTGCGTAGCGTAGCCTGCGTAGGCCGTATCAGCC